GAGCAGGGGAGGGTCAGAGAGAGGGGAGTCACAGACCGAAACAGGCTCCAGGCTCCGAGCTGGCAGTCAGCACAGAGCCCGACGCGGGGCTCGAACCCACGAACTGCGAGATCATGACCTAAGCGAAAGTAGGACGCTAAACCGACTAAGCCACCCAGGCGCCCCGTCACTAAGCAATTTTTAAAGCTCACAACTTTTGAAATATCATCTCAAGAATCTCAATGTCACTCATGAAAATTCTGAAGCTCAGAGAAGCCAAATAGAATTCTATATACCTCCCTTGCCCAGGTAACCTGTAAATTGGCTGTAGGTATAAGAAAATATCAGGTCTCGGGGCACCTGGGTGCCTCAGTTGGTTAAGCGTCCAACTTCAGCCCAGGGCATGGTCTCACGATTTGTGGGTTCGAGCCCTGTGTTGGGCTCTGTGCTGACAGCTCAGAGCGTGGAGGCTGCTCGGATTTTGTGTCTTCCTCTCTCTCTGCCCCTCCCCTGCTCGTGCTCTGTTTTTCTCTCTCACTCAAAATAAAACAAAACATTAAAAAAAAATCTGGTCTCAAAAAACAAAAAAGGAAAATAAAATAAAATATTACATTTCCATATTTTAAAAAAGGAATCAGCAATTTTTTCCTGTAAAGGTTCAGGGACCTTAGGCAATGGCTCAACTCTGCTGTTTTAGTTCGAAAACAGCCATCGACAACCCGTAAATGACTGGGCCTGGCTGTGTTCCAGTAAAACTTTGCTTATGAATACTGAAATGTGAATTTCATGTAATTTTCACGTGTCCTGAAATATTATTCAGTATACAGAAAGCACTATTTTTCAACCATTAAAAAAATGTACAACACGGGGCACCTGGCTGGTTCAGTCGGTAGAGCAGGCAGCTCTTGATTGTGGGGTCGTGAGTTCGAGCCCCATGTAGAACATAGAATTTACCTAAGATAAAAAAAGAGTACAACCCATTCTTAGCTTGCGAGACATACAAAACCAGGTAATTGGTCCTAGTTTTCCAACCCCTGCTTTAGAAAACTCTTCCCTACAGTGGTACCTGGCTGGCTCAGTCAGTAGAGCACGTGACCAGTCAGTAGAGCACGTGACTCTCAGTCTCAGGGTCCTGGGTTCAAGCCCCATATTGGGCATGGAGCCTACTTAAAAACATACACACAAAACCCTCTTTCCTACAGGCAACCAGTACCTTGTTCAGAGTTTGTTCGGTTGCCATCTTCATGCAGGGCACCGATGCTGGATTTAAAAGGAAAAAACCAAAACTTAAAGACTGTCCCTTGCTATTCCTGAATATAGAGGTGACCCTGGAACAACACAGGTTTGAACTGTGAGGGTCCACTTGTATGTGGATTTTTCCCCATACATACAGTGCAGTATTGTAAATGCATTCTCTTACCATTTTCTTAATAACACTTTCTTTTCTCTAGCTTACTGAGAATATAGTATATAATACATATACAAAATATGTATTAATCAACTGTGTTTGCTATAGGTAAGGCTTCTGGTCAACAGCAGGCTCTTAGTTAAGTTTCTGGAGAGTCAAAAGTTATCCATAGATTTTCAACAGCACTGTGGTGGGAGCCCCTAACCCCTGCCTTGTTTAAGGGTCGACTGTATTGTCACTCTGGCTTTTCTCACCACGATGGACCCCAAACAAGCGTGTAAGTTTAGAACTGCAGAAAGCGTAAAGAAATTCTCTTCTAAAATGTCCTTGTTGGGGCACCTGGGTGGCTCAGTCGGTTAAGTGTCAGACTTCGGCTCAGGTCGTGATCTCACGGTTCGTGGGTTCGAGCCCCGCGTCGGGCTCTCTGCTGACAGCTAGCTCAGAGCCTGGAGCCTGTTTCAGAATCTGTGTCTCCCTCTCTCTCTGACCCTACCCTGTTCACACTGTCTCTCTCTCTCTCTCTCTCTCAGAAATAATTTAAAAAATATAAAATAAAAAAAATTAAATGTCCTTGTTTACTGTCAGCCTTAAGGGATATGAGTGTTTCTAGTTACTACATTCTTATCTGTGTTTACTCTGAAGTCTGAAAACTATTTCTTTTATTCAAAAATCTGTTGCAGATACAAAGTACAGTACTTGGCATTCCTTAGATATTAAAACATTTTAAAAATGCCATTTCCCCTCCTCCTGCGTCCTGGGTTTAAACGTTACTGCTGTTGGGTCACTTCTGGCTGTGCCTCTGGTCCTCTGTGGGGCAGCTTTCCGTGGGCATCCTGGCGCCCCAGAGGGGCTGCCCCCTCCCTGCTGCCCCAGCCCGCCGTCCCACACACCTGTCCCTTTCCTCCCTTTCTGGGAGACAATCCTCTGGGGCTCCTCCCTCTCCTGTGATCTTCCCTCTGGGAAAGTCCTTTGCCTTCCCCAGTCCCACGGATTCGGATTCGTCAACACCCCTCTGGGTGTCCTCTTCATCAAACCTTCCTGGCTGGGTTCTGGCTGGAGATTTTCTCTCTTCTCTAAACTCTCACAGCACTTAGCCTGGGGTACACGATTTAGCACTTAATTATATACTGTCTTTTATTGTTTGTTTTTATTTGTTGTGTTAGTTTTCTCTTTTCCAGTGAAGCAGCAGACTCCTTGAAAGGAGCGCATCTTGTATTTGTTTTTAAATCTTCCCTAAATTCTCCAGTAGGGACACAGTTAATACTTCCTGTTCTACCAATATGTGTTGTTTGATGGATAGGCACAGATGTAAGATTTTCCAGGCATTTCTGCAGGATCTGTGGTGCTGATGAATATCTGTCAAATTTATTCAACTGAGTTGAGTAATGAAGAACAGCTCCAAGTCTAGTATTCAGTGGTAAATCACATCATCTCTGTATCCATTTTCTCATCTGCAAAATGAAGATGAAAATGTTTTCCCAAACCTACCTCAGAGAGTTACTGTGAGGCTTAAAGGAGATAATGTACCTTTGCACTATATGAATGTCAGGTATTATTATACCTCACATTACGGTTGTGGAAAATATAGTGGTGGTGAGATTTTGAAATGGAAATTCCCCATCTAAATTATTAGTCTTTGCTGCTCCTTCCTTACCTATCCTTTCTATACCCTTGTCTACAAGTTTACTGCTCTCTTAATTATATTCTGGCAGGTCTAAAGCAAAGCATGGTATAAGGAAATCTTAGTGAAGAAATAAGAACTTCTTCCTTTTGGAGTGGATCCTCTTCTCTATTTCATTTCTTTAGCTTCCAAAAGGAAAATCTTACTCTGGCTGTCACTTATGAATTGACATAATTTTTCTTCTCATTAAAAAAACCCATTTATTTATATTAAGTAAGCTCTACTCCCAACGTGGGGCTTGAACTCATGACCCCGAGATCAAGGACACTCTTATGCTCTACCAACGGAGCCAGCCAGGGGCCCCCATACTTTTTCTTATGTATTCCCTGCCCCCTTGACCATCTGCTGATTTTTTCCCATCTTCCTGTCCTTTCTCCTTATTTTAGTTGACCTAAATATCAAAGTATATTTGTTATCATCAGAGCTATTTCTTGAGATTGGTATTTTTTAAAGTTTATTTATTTGTTTTGAGAGAGAGAGAGAGAGAGAGAGAGAGAATCAGCAGGGGAATGGCAGGGGCTGGTGGTGGGAACAAGAGAGGATCCAAAGCTGACTCTGAACTGACAGCAGAGAGCTCAATGCTGGGCTTGAACTCAGAATGGTGAGATCATGACCTGAGCAGAAATCAGACGCTTAACCCAGGCTCTCGAGATGTTTTTTGTTTTTTTTGTTTTGTTTTGTTTTTTTTTAGTTTTTAACACTTATTTATTTTTGAGAGCCTGAGTATGAGCAGGAGAGGGACAGAGAGAGAGAGTCACAGAATTCGAAGCAGGGTCCAGGCTCTGAGCTGTCAGCACAGAGCCCGATGCAGGGCTCAAACCCACAAACTGTGAGATCATGACTTGAACTGAAGTTGGCCACTTAACCGACTGAGCCACCCAGGCGCCCAGAGATGGTTTTTGTTTTTAATTAAAATGAAATTATTTGGGGTGAAAGTTTTATATATTTCTTTATTAAATTCTAAAATATATTTTTTATTAGTGCTTAACCCTGGACTCATTTTTTCTTTGGGTTAGCGTTTCCCAGTGAGTCTTTATATATATATATATACACATACACACACATAATGTATATTATATACGCATATTATGTATATGTATATACATGCATATTATGTATATGTATATATATGCATATTATGTATATGTATATATATATACATACACATTTGTCTGTATATACATACATATATACAATTCTTCCCAAGGCCCTTTTTACTCTTAATTGCTCTAGTATTTAACAGTAACTGATGCTATTCCTTTTTAAGGCTCAACTCCAGGTTTGAGTCATGCCTGAGAAAGTGGCCTAATCTCATCTCCACCGTGAACACCATGGGGAGTCATTGGGATACTGTTCGGATGGAGATTTCTGTCCTCCAGCTTTTCAGGACTAAAGCACCACTGCTATGAAAAAAGGGAAGCTTAATTTCTAATGCCTCCTCCCTTTTCTGCGAAGGGCGCCGCACCTGCTCCAGCGTTCTAGGGGAGAAATCACAGTTTTCTCCGCCCCCTGAAAAGCGCCATACTCCAGGTGGGTCTAGATGTCTCCCTTCCCAGCTAGGGCGGCCAGACAAAGGCACCTCTCCCAGGCTGGGTGGGCGCGCTAGGAACTGGCACCCGCCCTCCGGGAATGGGGAGTGCGGGCTGTGCAGGTGACCCGTCGCGGGGAGGGAGGCCCGCGGAGTTAGTTACCTGGCGCGGCGCGGCGCGGCGCGGGGCGGGGCGGGGCGGGGCGGGCGGCGGGGGCGGGGCCGGGGTGAGATCCTAGGTTGCGATTGGTCCGCCCCGCGCCTGTCTCCATGTGCCGCGCGGCGGAGGCACAACATTCAAGTCCGGGGGCGGGGCCGGCGCGCGCCGGGAGGAAACGGCAGCGCGGCAGCTGCGGGGCGTGGGGGCGGTGGCGGCGGCGGCCAAGGCCAAGACCGAGGCGGCGGAGGCTGAGGCGAAGGCGGCAGTTGCCTAGCCGGTGACGGTGCTCCCCCGGACCCCCTTTCAGGCCCCATGGAGGCGGCGGCGGGCGGCGGCTGCGGCTCTGGGCCGCCGCTGCTGCTGAGCGAGGGCGAGCAGCAGTGCTACTCCGAGCTCTTCGCGCGTTGCGCCGGCGCCGCAGGCGGGGGCCCCGGGTCCGGGCCCCCTGAGGGCGCCAGGGCCGTCCCTGGCGCGGCCACCGCAGCCGCGGGCCCTGTGGCCGACCTGTTCCGGGCGTCACAGCTGCCCGCGGAGACGTTGCACCAGGTAGGACCCCGCGCCTACTGCCACTGACGGTCTGTGGGGACCATTTCTGTGGGGACAAGGGGGCGGGGTGGGGCGTTAGGGCTGCCCAGGGACCTGGAGGCCTTGGCTAGGTAGAAGTCGGGGATGGCGGCGACGCCCTTGTCCCCTGGGGAACACACCAGCCTCCTCCTCAGCTCAGGAGTGCTGGGTCCGCTCCCCGTCTTCCTCTCCTGAGACAGATTGACACTCCCCTCCCCTCCCCCGGCCATTGCTGGGGCTCTGCAGCCGCCCAGACCCAAAGTTTGCCTTGTTCTGGAAGTGGTGTTTGTTTTGGCTGGTGTTTGGTTTAACCTCTGCTCACTGCTCCTGCCTTTTCCTCTGCTGAGTGGGTGGAAAGGGGTAGGTGCCCGTGGTGCCTTGCTGGGATTTGAACTTGAAGCGTGTGGGTATGTATGTAGAGCAGGGGACCCAGAGCTGAATGTTCATCCTATATACATGTAACATATACATATCTACTGTATGTGCTTGCTTACTAACGTATTTCTGAATATTGGTATTAAACTGGAAAGCCTTAATAAGTTGCAGAGCCAGGGACAAAGGGCTCCAAGTGGATGTTTGTCAAGGCAAAGCCAAGCTTACTGTTTAGGGCTAGAGATAGACCCCAGACGACCACCATGGGGGACAGCTGTAGTTTCCCATTTTATTACTTGGATTTGAAACGGAACTGGAAAGTAATGTGTATCATAGCTATCTCCTTTTGGCTGCTCTTTACCTGGAAAAGGAGGAGGGGATGGTCCACAGCAGATGCGGTTTTTATTTTGTGCTTTGCTTGGAGAAAGACTACTTAATTAAGTATTGTCATTTGATGTCACCAGGTTTTCAAGATAAGATTCTTAATATCAAGCCCAAAACCTGAAATGAAGCTTTATTAAAATTGTTTTTTTAAAAGTCTTTAATTCCAGTAGCTGGCATACTGTGTCATATTAGTTTCAGGTGAACAATATAGTAATTCAGCACTTCCCTAGTCACCCTGTGCTCATCAGGACAAGTGCATTCCTTAATCCGCATCACCTATTTCACCCCATCCCTTAACTCCCTCCCCTCTGTTTGTTCTCTGTAAGTAAGAGTCTGTTTCTTGGTTTCTTTCTCTTCCTGGTCTCCTTTGCTCATTTGTTTTGTTTCTTACACATGAGTGAAATCGTATGGTATTTGTCTTTGACTTACTTCACTTAGCATTATACACTGTAATGGCAAGATTTCATTCTTTTTTTTTTTTTTGACTGAGTAATAGTCCATTATGTCATATCTATATCTCACATCTTCTTTATCTATCAATTGATGGACACTTGGGCTGCTTCCATATCTTGGCTGTTGTAAAGAATGCTGCTATAAACATTGGGGTGCGTGGAAACGAAGCTTTTCTTAAAAGCAGTAGTTAGTATGAAAGTTAACATCAATTGAATATTTAGAGTGGGGAATGGTGTTTTAGAATCTAGTTCCCTAGGATTAGTGAGGGTTTTATGGTTCCCTTGCAATATCACTGTTTGTAGGGTGTTTTTGTGCTTTATACTGCCGGAGCATGTATATGCTTTATATGTTTGTAAGCATAACTTTAGCTGTTCTGTAATCTTTCACCTTGTAACTTCTGACCCTGAGAATAAGAGTCTCACTGCTCTACCAACTGAGCCAGCCAGGCACCCCAATCTTTCACCTTTTAGAAGGAATTTATGAAAATGTGATTAGTATTCAGAGAACTCATAATGGCTGTTGATTCCTTAAAGAAGTACTTGATTAAGGGCACCTGGGTGTCTCAGATGGTTAAGTATCTGACTCTTGGCTTTGGCTCAGGGCATTATCTCACTGTTTGTGAGTTTGAGCCTCGTGTCAGGCTCCAGGCTTATAGCGTGCAATCTGCTTTGGATTCTTTCTCTCTCTCTCTCTCTCTCTCTCTCTCTCTCTCTCTCTCTCTCTCCCCCCCCCTCTCCCTCTCCCTCTCTCTCCCTCTCTCTCCCTCCCTCCCTCCCCCCCTCAAAAAAAAAAAACTTAAAGTCCTTGATATGTAGAAAGTTTTTTTAAATAGTTTATTGCCAAGTTGGTTTCCATATAACACCCAGTGCTCATCCCCACAAGTTTTTGCGGTTACTACAGTTACTGTTCCATGGTTGAGCTAAACGGGGTAGACAAAAATTCGGTGTATTAAAATGCAAACCATGGCCATTACTTGAGGCCCTCAGAATATTCCCAAGCATATAAATTTATTAAATGCTGTTACAGCTTCTTAACTGAAAAAAGGAATAAGTGACTGAGTCCACACAGCAAGTAAATGACAGCCAGGCACCTGTTAAGGGTTATTTTGTAGTCAATAATACATGGAGTGTGGTAAAAGGAATGTGTTGTGTATTAAATGTGAATGTGTTGGTTTACCGCTCCTAAGGAACTGGGGAGGAGGTTTTTCTGGTGTTAGAATCCATGGTCCCTTGAGATCTATATGATTTAGAAAGAACCCAAGGCACAGTGCATTTGCATGAATGAGGTTATATTCTTGATGTCCAGTTGAAACCTTGCAGAAAACTGTTTCAGATGTTGGCAAATGGGCACAGGCCTAGAAGTTTCCTTGCAGTAAATTTCTCAGAACTTTAAGCTCTCTTATTCTCCTCAGCAAAACAAAGTACATCCTTCCCCATTACCTTAACATAATTGCAATTATCTAGTATTCTTCATACAGGTGAAAATTAACATCAAAGGCATCCTGGATAGGGAAATGTAATCAGAAGTGATTCAAACAAAGCTAGCAGCCAGTAGCCACCTGATTTTTACCAACCATTTTGGTGAGGTGGGGTGTGGTGTGGCATGGCATGTCATATCTTGATGTTTCTGTGCGGGTGCGTGCTCCATTTACCTCAATTTGCATTTCCCCATGAGTGTATTAGCCATTCTTTAAAACAAATGTAGACATATTTTAGCCTTTCCCTTAAACAGGAACTTGTAAGTTCGGAATTAAGTGGCCCAACAGGTATAACTGCTTAAATCATGGAGGCACTAACCATCCCTGGTAGTTTCTATGGTAACAGCCAAATTTTTTTTTTCTTAATAAGCATGCAATTAAGATTACCATAATGAGGGGCACCTGGTGGCTCAGTCAGCCAAGTGGTTAAGCATCAGACTCTTGATCTCCTCTCAAGTCATGATCTCACGGGTTCCTGAGTTCAAGCCTCATGTCGGGTTCTGCACTGATGGCTCGAAGCTTGCTTGGGATTCTGTCTCTCCCTCTCTGTGCCCCTCCCCTGCTTGTGTTTTTTGTTTCTCTCTCTCTCAAAATAAATAAACTTAAAAAAATTGCCATAATGCTTCAAGCAGGGTGAAAGTCTTACCTGGAGTAAATGTTTTTCAAAAATACTAAATTTTATAAAGTAAAAATATACTACTATATTACTTGTCATGGAAGTAAGTTATCTTAGGGATTTTTTCCTACTGAAATATATATATATTAATAGACTTAAATTTTTTCAAAGCAGTTTTAGGTTCACAGCAAAATTGTGGGGAAGGTACAGAGAATTCCCATATATCACCTTTTAGCACACATGCACAGCCTCCCCCATTATCATCATCCCTCACCAGACTGGTATGTGTTACAATCCACATTGACATTGACATATCATTATTGCCCAGAGTCCGTAGTTCGCATTAAGGTTTGCTCTGGGTGTTGTATATTCTGTGTTTTTAAAAAAAATTTTTTTTAAATGTTTTTATTTCTGAGAGAGAGACATACACACAGCATGAGCAGGGGAATGTCAGAGAGAGAGGGAGATACAGAATCTGAAGCAGACTCCAGGCTCTGAGCTAGCTGTCAGCACAGAGCCCAATGCAGGACTCAAACCCATGAACCGTGAGATCGTGACACCTAACTGACTGAGCCACCCAGGCTCCCCTGTATATTCTGTGTTTAAAAAAAATAGATATTTATCAGGGTGCCTGGGCGGCTCAGTCGGTAAGCATCTGACTTCACCTCAGGTCATGATCTCACAGTTTGTGTATTCGAGCCCTGTGCTGGACTTTGCGCTGGCAGCATGGAGCATGCTTTGGATTCTCTGTCTCCCTCTCTCTCTGTTCCTACCCCACTTGCTTTCTCTCTCTCTCTCAAAAATAAATAAACATAAAAAATTGTTAAAAATACATGTTAAGACTTAATTTTTTAGAACAATTTTAGTTTCATAGCAAAATTGAGGGAAAGGTACATAGTGTTTCCATATACTCTCTGGCCACACACAGATACTGCCTACCCCATTAGGAACACTCCTCTCTAGAGTGGTACATTTGTTAAAGGTGATGAACCTACACTGACATATAAGTAATCAACCAGAGTCCATAGTTCAGTGATATTGAACATTGTATAGGTTTGGACAAATGTATAATGACATGCATTTACCATTAAAATATCATACAGAATAGTTTCACTGCCCTAAAAATCCTCTTTGCTCTGCCTAGTCATCCCTACCATTTACCCCCAACCCCAGGCAGCCACTGGTATTTTTACAGTCTCCATAGTTTTACCTTTTTCAGAATGTCATAATGTTGGAAAAGCACAGTGTGTGATTTTTTTCAGATTGGCTTCTGTCATTAATAATATGCATTTAAGATTCCTTCATGTCTTTTCATAGCTTGATGGCTCATTCTTTTTAGTACTGAATAATACTCCACTGTCTGGATGGACCACAATTTGTTTATCCATTCATCAACTGGAGGATGCCTTGGTTGCTTTCAAGCTTTGACAGTTATGGATCAGCTTGCTATAAATATCTGTGTGCAGGTTTTTGTGTGGACTTCAAGTTTTGAACTCCTTTGGTTAATTCCCAAGGAGTGTGATTGCTGGATCATACAGTAAGAGTATCCCTAGTTTTTTAGGAACCTGTCAAACCGTCTTCTGAAATGGCTGTACCATTTTGTAGTTCCCCTCAGCAATGAATGAGAGTTCATGTTGCTCCACATTCTCACTAGCATTTAATGATATCAGTGTTTTTGAT